TTGATACTAGGTAAGCCTTGATCCTTGTTAGGCCCTGGTACTAGGTAGGCACTGATCCTAGGTAGACATTGATTCGAAGTAAGCCTTGGTCCTTGGCAGGCTCTGATCTTTGTTAGGCCTTGATCCTTGGTAGACTCTGATCCTTGGTAGGCGTTGATCCCGAGTAAGCCTTGATCCTTGTTAGGCCCTGATCCTAGGTAGACATTGATCCTAGGTAAGCCTTGGTCCTTGTTAGGCCCTGATCCTTGGTAGGCCTTGATTCCTGGTAGCAAGTATTAATCCCTAAGTTCCTGGTTTGAAACCAGCGCCTGATGAGTAAGAATTTTTGACTCTGATAATATATTTGCACAGCGCAGTTTTTTCTCTCATTTCTCACTAGTTTTGTTAAGGCAGATTTTTTATGCTGTAGTTCTTTAATGTATTCTGCTGTTTCAGTTGGAGCCACATTTCCTTCAGGTTTTGATTCCTTTAGTTGCATTTCCCGAAGATATGTTATCAAGCCTTTTGTCACAGAGTACATGCAAATTCCAAATTGGTGATACTAAAATCAAACAGCTACAATAATTTATACAGGCACATTGTCGTAGCGAAACATGACTTCCAAAAGCTAAGCAAAGTAATAAGAAACAGAAAAAAAAAACGCTTGTTAGAAACAAAAAATGAGTGTACTAAACTCTTATAATAATATTAGTCCACCTGTATGGAAGTGGATGCTGGACAACTTGTAGCAACAGAAATCTGGTTCTACATAAGGATACTGAGAATACCATGGAGCGAACATGGGTAAAACTAAGACGTTTTTAGTGAAAATGGAAACAAAAAGGACACTTATGCTTAAGATTAGGAAGAGGTAGTTAAAATTTCTAGGTCACATAATGAGGAAAGATGGCTTAGAAAATTTGGTACTCATAGGTCGGATTCAAAGGAAGAAGGACAGAGATATAAAAAAAATTCATGACCTACATAGCGAACTTGATTAAATGGATGACGTAACAGGGTTTAAGGGAGATAATAAAAAGACAACATTTATTACGAGCTACAAATTGTGGAGAACAATGCTAGCCAATGTCCTGAATGAGCAAAGCACGTTGAATAAAAAGTTGTTTTAGAACCAGTTAATATGCAGTTGTTTAATTGCTGCTAAAATAAATATTATTATTTAGTGTTATAGATGAATAAAGTGTTGCTGCCGACGCTTGAGTTTGAACATAGATCGCCAGTGAGCAGAGGAAACACATTTATGGGAGGTAGCGTGTAGCTAATTGATTGTTATTTCTATACTATCATCTATTAATATACGGACCGCTATTACGAAAGTGACAACGAGTATTCGTTGGCATCAGAAAACTGGCAACGATTGTTCGTTGACATCACAAACTTTGGCATAGGATAGATGAAGACTGGAAGAATGGATGACCTCGCCATTGTCAATTCAAACCATTTCCCAATCTACCCGGATAGAATTTTCTGATCATTTGGTTTCGTCTTTAAGCGTCGTTTACCATCAATCAGAATATGTATGAAGATTAGTTAAGTAACAGAAAGAGTTGTCAAAGACTTCGATTAATCGGGGGATTTTTTGTAAATATCAATTCTCTAATCGAAGAGGCGACTGACTAAAGAAATTTACGATATAGTCGGATAATTCGAGTGATGAGAAAAGACAAACTCCAGGGCTTGACTAATCAATTATAAAAATCACAACCTTTCCCACATTTAATTCTGATTTTGCGAATGGATTACAACAAACCCGGTCAGAAAGAGATTAACAGATTACCGTTCTACCGAGTAAAAGGATTAGACTCCGCTGGCGCAGGTTTGTTCCACTGACGCAGTTATCTGATTTTACGGTGACCAATCGATATAAAATGACATCTAACGGTAAATAGTGGTGTTAAAAGTCATTGTGCTTCACTTGAAATGAAAATCGTTTATCTTCATTATTTAAACGCGGAGTATTGTCTCCATCTTTGACACCAGGTGCTGTAAGCTTGAATGTGTGGATAATGGCTCGGAATTGTTTATCGAAGAACCGAGTTCCAATTCCATTTCGTTATATTCACTTACGCGCAAATACCCTTGGGAAAGGCATGAATCCACACCTTCACCCTTCCAGTTATGGGGTAATTAGTAAGACTTGTAACACTAAATCATTATTAACTAAAAAAATAACCTTACAATATAAAAAATATTTTCTGGATTTAAATAACCTGCACAATCCGTAGAAAATGAATGAATGAATCAATCAACCATCTTTGACGTTGTTATGATTTTACAATGATGTTAACCATGCACAAAGCCCAAGAGCCACTCGAGGTAGAGGGTAACCGAGTAAGAGGTACAGTTTACGAGGTTTTGTGGGGAAGATAACGGTTGACCCTAGACTTGAGCAGTTTAAGATTGTAGCGATTGAGGAAGCATCCTCTTGGGAGTCGGTTCCATAAAGCAGTGGTTGGTGGGAAGAAGCTGCTTGGGTTGGACTTACATCTCACCAATGGAATACGAAGGGAATGGGGGTGGTTCACTATAATGGGCGTGGCATGGTGGGTCCCAGCCGTACAGATAACGGTTGGCTGTAGACTTGAACAGAATAAGATTGTAGCTATCTTAGAAGTGGGTGAAAATTTCACAACGTTTCAGCCGTCGCGTCCTCCAGCCTTCATCAGGTGCCTGTCGATCCGGGTAACCATCAAGGAATGTCGTAATCTGTTAATCTCTTTCTGACCGGATTTGTTGTAATCCATTTGCAAAATCAGAATTAAATGTGGGAAAGGTTGTGATTTTTATAATTGATTAGTCCAGCCCTGGAGTTTGTCTTTTCTCATCACCCGAATCATCCGACTATATCGTAAATTTCTTTAGCCTCTTCGATTGGAGAATTGATATTTACAAAAAATCCCCCGATTAATTGACACTTGGCATGTTCGAAAAGAAGTCTTTGATATAAAATCTTCTTATTACTTTACTAATCTCCATACATATTCTGATTAATGGTGACCGACTGTTAAAGAAGAGATCGAATGTTTCGAAAATTCTGTTCCGGATATATTGGGAAATGGCTTGAGTTGACAATGGCGAGGTCATCCATTCTTCCAATCTTCATCTCCACCTATTCTATACTAAATTTTTTGATGTCTGTGAATTCTCGTTGCCAGTTTTGTGATGCCAACGAATACTCGTTGTCACTTTCGTTGTAGTAGAGACTTTGTAATCGCAGATACAACTGATAGTAACGCCGTTAAACAATAATTGTGTCAGACGCCTTCGAATAAGTCTCGCACTAATAGTACTTGCTCAAATAGTAACCACCGAATAGTGATCCAAATAGAGAAATAGTATAGTGAATAGAGTAGAGAATAGCGGTCCTTATAGTAATAGAGGATAAACTTTATTTAATCAACGGGGATAGATTGTTCTCGCCTCGCTTTCCATGTCTCGGGATATCTCGTTTTATTCTTATTTAGTACTGTTTGGTTATTTCTTCCTTTTTTTTCTCCATCCCAGCCCAAGGACTCATAATTATTGTGTCACCAAATACCGATGCTTTAATCCAGGGATCAGCAACCTTTTGCTAACTATATGCCGACTTAGGGTTTTAAAATCATTCAGTGTGCGAACAGCAGACGTATTTGTATACAAGTCAAGGTCAGTATGCCTGTTCTACGATATATATTATATAGTAAGATATACAATAATATGTAAGCCACACCAATAGAAATAAATCTGCTTTTAAAAGGTTTTTTTTTTTATTTTTATTATTAATGTGAGTCCAATAAGTGAGAAGTTTTGAAATGGCTAAATATCTTCTTCGTGTTGTAGTAGTTATTGGTTCGGACTTCGTGATGTCATTTGTAGCTGAGTGTCATTGGAAATTGCTTGGCGTGCCACGTGTGACGGGCGTGCCACCTGTGGACGCGTGCCGTAGGTGGCTGAGCCCTGCTTTAATCCATTTGGCTTGGTCGTAAGAAAGAGACACTTTTGGTAAATATGGAAAAAAAATCTTCGTACTGGTAAACAGATTATTTTAGTGTGTGATCCTCTACCTCGACTGGCTCTCGGGCCTTGTAAGGCGTCAATGTCATTAAAAAAGAGTGAACGTATGTGCGTATGCTTGAATATCGATCTGCATGCTGGAAAAGGAATCAGATATCAGCATTTTGGATGGGGGGCGGTGACTTGAATACTGACTGGGCATCTGCATCATCATCATTATCATCAACAGTTCCCTGACTGCTTAATTGGGTGTGCTCATAAAGTCGTCGTACAACCAAGTACCTAACCAATTCCCTTCTGGCGGAGCCATCCCTCTCCCGGTCAAAGAACAGCCGACATCGCCAGTGCAATGGAGATAAATCAGCAAAATGTTAATAGCAAAAAATGTCTGGATTTCAGCAAAAACGAACCCCAAAATCAAGTAAGTATAAAAATTTTAATATTTAGTTAGTGTTTAAACAGAGGAAAGAAAATATGACACCGTAATCCGAAGCCACATTAGCAAAAGACCTCTTCCAAAACGTACTAAGAATCAGGAAAGCTTCTTTAGAAACAAACAAAAGTGTGTTGGACAGTTATGCAATATCGGTTCGCGGATAAGGCAGTGAATCTTCATGAAACTCCTCATGGATGAAGAAGGGACTTGATGCCACAGAAATGTCGTTCTACAGAAGGATACTGAGAATGATATTGACTGAACATGTGAGTAAGAGTAAATTTTAAGGATAATTGAAGCAAAAGAGGACACGTACTTAGAATTAGAAAGATTTCTGGCGTAAATAATTAGGGAAGAGTGCTTGGAGAATTTGATACTCACAAGGCATTTTGAAGGTAAGAGGGACAGATGAAAGCTGTGAGTAACAGACTCAGCAGGATTGTGAAAATGCTTGGTAGATCAGTGTTTAGAAGTGATAGCAAAAAGATAAACTTTGCTAAGAGCTACAAAGACTAGGAAGTTGTGGAGAGTCACAAACATCCTATACGGCACACAGATGAAGAAAACAGACATACACAAGCATAGACATAGATGTGTAAATAGAAAAATAGAAGAAGTGGAAAAAAGAGAAGATATCATAAGAAGTAAGATAGAAATTGAGAGAGAGAGAGAGAGAGAGAGAGAGAGAGGAGGAAAGATCGACACATTGGAAAGTCAGAAAGAGAGAGAGAGAGAGATAAAAGGGGAGAAGATGAGAAAAGAACGTGATTTCAATACAGAGGGATGAATTGAAAGAAAGGGAAAATATGAACGATTGATAAACCAGGCAGGGATGGAGAAAATGCGACTGAGAGAAATAGAGATTAATTTGACGATAGTTCGGTGGATACTGGGTGACTATGATTAACAGATAGTAAACGATACTGGGAAGTTATGATGAATAGATATTACAGTGTAAAAGAAAATATGTAAGATATAAGTTGAAATAGATAAATAGATAGATAGATAGATAGATAGATAGATAGATAGACACGAGTAGAAATAGAGTTGAGATAGATAAATATGAGCTGAAATAGATAGATAGATTGATTGATATGAGTTGAAATAGATATAAGTTGAGATATAAAGATATGAGTTAAAATAGATAGAGTTGAAATAGATATGAGTTGAGATATATAAATATGAATTGATATATATATATATAGATATAGATATATATATGTTGAAATAGATACAAGTTGATATATATAGATATGAGTTGAAATAAATGGATCGATAGAGAGACAGAGTTGAAATAGATATATAGATATAAATTGAAATAGATAGATGTTGATAGCAAACTATAATTCCACTGTTCGTAACATTTAATTTAAAAGATGGCTCAATACAGAGTATAGCTAAATATTTTAGGATCTTAAAACAAAATCATGTTAAAAATCGCTACAAACTGGTAATTATGTTTCAACACGACCAATGTGCCTCCTAGGGCTTTGGTAAACTATTGTCGAGGGAAAGAATAATTTAATTTCGAAAGCAGAATACTTCCTGTTTTTTCGAAAAAAAAAAAACAAACAAAAAACAGAGTTAAAAACTTGTTTGCTTTACCGTGATTAACCAATGGAATATGACCTACGCTAAATTCAAAAACACCTAAAATTTTTTTTAATATATGTCATGACACGAAGTTGTCAGCATATAAATCCTAAGCAATTTCAATATGGACAGATAAAATGGTTACATTATTTCGTATGATGTATAAAATTCTGGCGTTCAACTTTAAGAGTTAATTTAACAAAGTGCTACCTAGTTATATGCTAAGTCAGCTTCCTACATCAAATTTTGTAGTAGATAAATAAAAGGCCCCTGGTAAACTGGTAAATAACTTAACCGTTTGAAAAAAAACAGGTCATAAATAAAAAAAAACTACTATGGCAAATTAAAATGCAACTATCATCCATATAAGATGTTAATAATACTAATTAATCAATGAAAGATGTTAATAATACTAACTAAGCATAAATACAAATCTATATTAAGTGAAAATGAATCTTATAAATAGGATAGTAAGCCATATAAGGTGCACCATAGTTCATCTATTGATTATTACTGTAAGAAAACGTATTATCAAATTCAATGTTAAAACATATTGAAAGGCAAAAGGTAGGCTATGCCTCTAATTTACAGTCAATTCACTTCTTTTGGTTTAATAAGCAATTTTTTAATCAGAAAATGATAATTTATAATTTTTCATGTAAACATACAAAAAAAAGGGTTTATTTAAAGATCTAGCTTTTTTAATTTTTCATTTTAACTTAGGAGTTTTATTAGCTTCTTTTGAATTCCCAAAGATATTTCGAAAGAGATGTACTATTCTTATAAGTAATATTGTTGAAGGATTAGATATGCTGCTACCAGCGAGTCTTAAAAAATTCTTAATAAAACCAATATAAAATTTTACAACAGTTGAATTCTCTATTGTAGAAATAATACATAAACACAAATAATTGTAAAAATGATAACAATTAATAACAAATTATGAGTAAAACGTTAACAAATGACTGCATTCGAATCCACAATGATTTTTACTCAACAGCCTCGAGAGTATTTTGAAACATCCAAATTACCGTCACGATAATACAATAGATATTAATACCCAATTACTGACCTAATTACTGATCAATATATATAAATAGTCGAGGCAAAATACAACACACATGGCCTGACGATTGCGTTGAAGAATGAAGCAGATTTTCATTGCTTGGTGTTGACCTCTCAGTTAACTTACTGTCGGGTAGAATGAATGACTAACCTTCTCTACACTTATTATTGAATTATAGACTAGTCTATCCGTTATGAACAAACCGTCTGCTCATGAAACAGGGGCAAAAAATTGAGCCGCTAATGGGTAGCCCTTTTAGTCATATTGAACTACTATATTCTCAATCCAACTTTTCATGGGATTAATTCCTTAGGCACTTTTTTCCAGTGTTTTCCTTACAGTCTTACTAACCAGGAACTACAAGCGTTATACGAACTTCATAAAACAAACACACACACACACACACACACACACACACACACACACACACACACACACACATATATATATATATATTATATATATATATATATATATATATATATATATATATATATATAATGGACTCTACCGTCGTTTTCGGCGTATGAATATCTTTCAGTTCAGTTTTTGTTTATGTTTGGTATGATTTCATATATTTCAGGTTTTTACTGTCAACAGTAATGGGAACGATTGGAAAGGTATGGGCCGGTGGTATTTGTTTTAAACCCTTGACCTGCTGAGGTGTAGTCGCCTTGGTTGATGGAGAACTCCAGTTTTCTTTATGCTTATAGTTAATCCGAATGCGTTGCAAGCGGTGGAAAAAACGATAGACGAGTGTTTGATCGCTTTCAATTGAGGTGGTCACGATCGCAGTGTCACCGGCAAACAAAAGATCACGAATAATGCTTTGCTCGAGTCAGCAATTTTGCTTTAAAACCTTGATGGTTAAAGAGGCCGCCACTTGTGCGGAATTCAAATGACACACCCATGTCAAGGTCATTAAAATGCAGCATGACCGAAAAGAGAGCGGGAAATACAGGAGCCATGACACAACCTTGTTTTGTGTCTTTTGTTACATCAAAGGTTTCGGAAAACTCTCCATTAATTAGAACAGATGCTTTCATTCCTTCGTGAAACGAGATAATGACATTTAGTATACTCACTGATATGTCCCCGAAAGGGATATATTTGTTCGAAGTAGCAAAGTGGTCTTGGACTACTATAACCAAGTAGGACAATCCTAGCAGGTAACCGTAATGGACTGGTCCTCGTCGCAGTGGTAGGCAATAGGTGTAGGCAATAGGTGCAGGCAATAGGCGTCCTTCCGAGGCATCCTCAATCAGTCTGTATTTATGGCTGACACCAGCCAATCATATTACTATTTGGGGGAACCCAGTTGTATGCATATTCATTACATCACTTTCAGGTATGCCAAGCTTTTTGAGTATTTTCCAGAGGGCACCCCTGTTTATAGTGTCAAACACTTTGGTCAGATCGATAAAGACGGTATAGAGTTCATGGTCCTTCTCGTGAAATTACTCGGCAACCTAACGAACTGAAAAATCCATATCAATAGTTCCACAACCTGAAAGAAAACCAAACTGAGATTCTGGATTTCATCAATGAGATTTTTGATTATTCACTTTGAGAATAACACCAGTGAGAATTTTACCAGCGATACTTTGAAGTGCAGTGTCACTTGTATTATCACATACAACCTTTTTGCTTTTATTCCTAAACAAATGTTTTATGCAAGCATCTTTGTAGTCCTGTGGAACAGAAAAAACCTTCCATATGACTTTAAAAAGCTCAAGGAGTTTCTTCACCAGAGTCTTCCCACCATATTTTAAAAAAAATCACAGGGAATAGCAACTTTTCCAGGGGCTTTGTTCGAGTACAATTGCTTGATAGAATCCTGGATTTCCTTTAGGCATGGCTCAATAGACATCTAGGAGATTTCTGGTCGCTGGTGAATTGAAGCAATGACATTGTCATCGATGGCAGAGATGAAATTAAGGACATTTTCAAATTGTTCTTTCCATTGTAATATAATTTCCTTCTTGTTTGTATGGAGTGTGTTATTGTCAGACGACATAACAGGTAAAATTCCATTTCCTTTTTGGGCTGTACACCTTTTTTAAGGCCTTCATAGAATGCTTTTGGAACTTTTCTGTCAGCTGTCGCCTGGATTTCCATAGCCTTAGCAGACCACCAGGATTCTTTCATTTTTCTGGGAGCATTTTGCACTTCCCACTTACATTGTTTATATATACGCTTTTCTGATAAACAATTTCTGTTGCTTAAGAATATTTTGTGCGAATCGTGCATCTTCTTCACGAGACGTTGAACGTGAGCCTCATTTACATCTAGGCAGTCCTGATGCTTCCTTATGGGAAGTCCTAGAACTTCAAGGGAGCTGGAATAAATGGTATCTCTGAGAGATCTCCAAGAGGATTCAATGTCTTCTGAGATCACAACTGAATCAAGCCTTGAATCGTGTGTCAAAGAGTTATTTCTTCTTAACATCAGAATTCAGGAGTGAGATGTTGATTCTTTTAGCAACCATAGTGCTAACAAGAGGTTTCTTGTGTACGATTCGAAAGGATGCTTTGCTGCGTAGTAGAGCATGGTCTGAAAGATAGCAAGTGTTATGGAAAGAGCGCGTCACGTTTCTTCATGATAATGTAATCAATCATATGCCAATCTTTATACATATATATATATATATGTGTGTGTGTGTGTGTCTGTGTGTCTGTGTGTGTGTATAAGGTGAAAATAAGACAAAAATTGTTCAACATTTGAATATTTTTTATTAAGCTGTTCCTTGATCTAAGCTTTCGGCTCAAATGTTGCACAATTTTTCTCTTTATTTTCACCCTAAATTTAAAACAATCATACGAAGTTTAGAGCGGCCCATGATCAATAGACATTCATTGTTTGTTATATTTAATAATATATGTTTAATTAATGATTTGCTACTAATACACTACATATATATATATATATATATATATATATATATATATATATATATATATATATATATATATATATATATATATATATATATATATATATATATATATATATATAAGCAAATATATGGATATAAATCCGACAGTATGAAAGAAAATAAAGAAAAAAACAAAATTCTGAATATGCATTATTAATGTTAAAATAAAGTCGACGTCGGACGTTTCGGTCTATTTAAGACCATCTTCATGGACATTTTCATTTAAACATAATTAACATTATAACTTATAACAATTTAACACAAAAGACGATGGACATAAGAGATTTCTTTAACTTTTTATAAAAATTTTTCATTCGACTTTTTGATATTTTAATTTTTGGAAATCATCTTCGAATACGTCTTAACAACATCGCCCACGTGACGACTACGTGATCATATTTAAACAGAACGCTGATCTGTATAAAATTTCAGTTATCTGTTTGAATTAGTTGGGCTCTTATGTCCATCGTCTTTTGTGTTAAATTGTTATAAGTTATAATGTTAATTATGTTTAAATGAAAATGTCCATGAAGATGGTCTTAAATAGACCGAAACGTCCGACGTCGACTTTATTTTAACATTAATAATGCATATTCAGAATTTTGTTTTTTTCTTTATTTTCTTTCATATATATATATATATATGCAGCATGTCCATAAAGTTCGTGTGCACTTAAAAAATTATAACCTTATTTGTATTTGCGATAGAAATAATCTGTAAAAAATGTTTAATGTACCGAGTTTTAAGTATAGCAAAAATAACTAATGTAATTTCAGGCATTACTGTAAATCAGTTGGCAAATGTTTTCCGTGAACTGCAAAATCGTATTACCCTTTGTATCGCTAATGATGGAGGACATGTGGAAACTTAAATAAAATTTCAATAAAATCTTAAAAAATATAGATTTACTTCTTTCTAATCCTTTTTACAAATTATTTCTGTTGCAAATACAAATAAAGTTATAATTTTTTAAACTGCATATGAACTTTATGGATACCATATATATATATATATATATATATATATATATATATATATATATATATATATATATATATATATATATATATATATATATATATATATATATATATATATATATATATATATATCCCCCAAATTGATATCATTTTGTAGTCTAATAATAATAATCGGTGTTACTCTTTTTGCAGGTCATTATTATTGTGTAATGGGTTTCGATCCTCACTGGGGACGCCATATTTTCGTACTTATGCTTTAAGAATTAGTTATGTGCAAAAGTTACCAGCGCTCTATTTTGAGAATTAAGTGTCAGCCGGTTTTTCACTGGAATGTTTTGCACACACTTAACATTGGTGAATTATAGCGAATTTTTCTCACTGTCACAAATGTATTAAATTGGATTTTCACGAAGGAAGGACACTTAGGTTCAGAAACAGGAAGCTGAGATTTCTGTGACGTATAAAAAAGTCTTGGAGAATTTGTCATTTATATGACATGCTAAAGGCAAGAGAAACAGAGGAAGGCAGCCAATACCCTACCTAACGAAGTTGTGTAAATGGATGACAGAAAAACGATTGGGAGAAAAAGTAAGAGGACAAATATTGCTAAGGATAGGAAGCTGTGGAGAACCATGATCACCAGCATTCTGAAGAGACGTGACACGTAAAAGGTGACTAGAAGAGCAGCGGAATATATAGCGGAGAAATTTTCCAGGGGGATAAAAAAAAGGACAGAAAATGGTTGGCCGTTAGCCAACAAAGAGATTAAGCATAACGTGAGAAAACGAGAATGCTGGCGAGAAGTGGCGTAGGCAGCGAATGTGTGAAAATACTAGAAAATAAGCCCGTTGATAACGACAGCAGTGTCGCTTTAGCTAGGAGATAAATAGATTAAGTTGAAAAAGGGACATGTCCGACTAATGCAGGGTCATAAATTAACCCGAGTCACCTTGCAAATGGGTAAACCATTAACGGATGTCGTGCAGGTCATTGGCGCCCTCAAATGGAACGAAATGCTGGTATTCACATGAATGAACAGGATTCGTTCCTAAGTTATGTAACTTGAAATGATTTCTCAAAGTATGATTATGGGATTCACAGCCTCGAATATACATTCGATTTGCTACTCAAAGAGAGTTATTAAGATAATCTAAAAAGATCGAAGTTATTGAGTTCGATCCTGACGAATTGCCCAGGGTCTATGTCATTTGAAATTTTAGGCATTTGATAAATATAAGTTAACTGCAGAGATGATTTTGTTTAAAGGCTCCAATTGAAATTTCACTGCCAGACAATTGGCCAGTATTCTACTTGGTGGTCCGAAAGTCACCACTACATAATATAAATTTCTATTTTAGATGGCTGACACGAAAATGATGGCGTTCATACAGACCTTCTCGATGTGTGACAGCGTCAGTGAAGGTGAATGTGCATTGTATTACTGTATTACTGTATTACTTGTTTTTTTTTTCTGTTCACATTACTTTTTGGTAGGGCGTGACAAAACTTTCGGTCCACCCTGTGTATTCTTGAGAAATATTCCTCTTACTGTTCAAATTTTAGTGTTCAAGATGAGCCGTTTATTATTACAGTGTATCAAAACTATTTTCCTTTTTTTACAGATATTTTTTTTACTCTTATTTCATATAAACTACCTTGCTTATTGGTAATATTAAATTTAATCTGTTAACTTGAAATTAAAACTAAAATAAAAGCTTCAAGAAATGTTTTCCATTTTAAAAAATGCCTTTTACACCTGAGGTATCGCTTTTCTTTGAAGATACACACACATACACACACACACACACACATATATATATATATATATATATATATAAATACATAGATAGATAGATAGATAGATAGATAGATATAGATATATAGGTATTGGAATAACAAAATAAAAGAACATCTATTTACACTATTTCAGGTGATATACGTTGAAATTTCTAACTGAATATTTTATTTAGTCCAGAGGGAGCAGATTGTTCTAGTTTCACGTGCCATGCCTTTTCTGGATATCTCAGTTTAAGATATTTCTCTTGAAGAACTTTCATTTGCAGTATATTTTGTTTACGCTTCCATGAATCATCTTAACCGGCACATACTAACATATCTCTGAAATTTTATGTGTATTAATTTGGTATAACAGATTTTTTTTAAATGTTTTTTGAGCGCAGGTCACATCCACCTCCTCCTCATTTTCTAATTACACCCAAAGTCGTGCGTCTGTTTATTTATTTAAAAAGAATAATATAGCGTTCATTAATTTATAAAAAAAATGTTGAGAGGTCATTTAATAAAAATCGCCTGAGGATACCGTAAGTTTGTAACTAGGTAGCGGATTCAACTGATCTCCTGATTTTTAAAGTATGACTTCACGATATATATATATATATATATATATATATATATAATCCACAGACAGACTCATCAGTGTGGCTAGACGTCCGGTTGCCTCTTGCTAGGATCGAAAACCGACTGAATTGGCATCGGTCAGGGATTCTACCACTAAGCCGTTGGCGCACGGCACGGATGAAGGTGAATTTAAGCGTATTTATTTTTAGATACACAGTAACTGAGAGAACTCGATTCGCTTTACCGAAGAGTCTTGCATTATTAGCCGTAATAGTCACTATTTACAAACCTACACTTCCCCCCCCCCCAGAGAACTCAACCGAAATAAATTTTTCAGGAGCATATATATTGTCATCCACAGACAGACTGTTTCGCTGTGTATATATATATATATATATATAATATTTTCCGTTTATACACACACACACACACACACACACACACATATATATATATATATATATGCATTTTTCATTGAAGACTGCCTACAATGAAGATTTAATTAATCTTTTATTGAGGTTTTCTAGCAATCTAACATTTTTCTGTTTTCAGGTGTTAAAGAATATAGGAATTTTCCATAGAATTGTTCGGCTACTTTTCTAGTCATTATCAAGGATAAGGCCTTGTGCCACATTCAATTCCTGTGGGTGAATTGATAAATACCATCAAAGATGTGTTCTGCATGCTGAAATTCTGCGTGTGGCTGCTGCATAGTAATTTTACAGTGTACAGTTCGAACGGTTTGTTTGCTTCTTGGCGGTCACGTGATATGCGCGGTCAGGAGGCCGGGGCAAGATTTCTATTTTTAGAACACTTTTAACACACCGTCTCTTTTGCTAAGTAGTGTGTGATTGATAGTGGGAGAATAAAGTTTAATAAGCAGAGCCTCTTTATTCCCGAGCTGTGTACGATTATCTGACCTGAAAAAAATTATTGTATTATCAACTAGAATCTTCCTTAAAGGTTCTTAGAAGTTATGAGTTAATTAATATTTATTAATCGCATTCTGCTACAACAGGTGGCATGTAAGATGTCTTCTCAGGGAGGTAGTGGTGTGTCCGATATATGTCATTGGGTTTGACAAGTAACACAGTCTTGTACAGGCAATGGAATTGGTACACTATATTGGTCACTGCTAGTTTAGATTTAATGTGGTTATTTCGGTTTTTGATAACGAGGTTTGCGGTCTTCCATTTTCTATAATATATTATGATCTTTATATGTTTTCCGGGATTTACCGCAGTAATATGGTGTTTAATGATGTTCAGTATAGCAAATTCATCTTATATAAGAGTTATTGTGCATCTGCTGGCAATAAAATATATTGATATTTTGCGGGGCTGTATGTTTGTTACGGGCATTGTGTAGTTTTTGCAAGAATAATTTTATTTCTTTATCAATAATATAGTTGGGAAAATTATTGTTGACGAGCGTTTGTTTTATGAGTTTATTTCGCCTCGAAAAATTCCTTGGAAATAAGAATTTTTGTATGCACGATTTATGAAGTTAGTTATCACTGTTATTTTATATCTTTCGGGGCATTGGCTATCATATTTTACAAGACAGGAGTTCATATTAGTTGTTTTGTTATATGGGTTAAGTGGTAAATTCGTTGGATTTTAGCTCCAATTCACTGTCAGTGAATGTAATCTTATTATGTACTATGAGTTCATAGGTGAATTTTACTGTTGATTTTTTTTTCAAAGGTTGATTTTAGGCATGCGATTTCATCTTTATATATATATATATATATATATATATATATATATATATGTGTGTGTGTGTGTGTGTGTGTATATATATGTGTGCAATATATTATATATATTATTATTTATATATTATATGCGCAGTACTGATTAGAAATATCAGAGATAGAGCTAACATATTTAGTTGGATTGATGTGAGTTTGTGACCCTGGGTTTCACGCTTTTGCGATCGTCAGACAAATATTGAAGTAAACACTCAAGAGGTGACAGGCTCTTTCATGCAAGACGCATTTGTCAAGCCGCCAGTCGATTGCGTCTAACATGAAACAGCCCGTCGCCTCTGAGTGTTGACTTCAATGTTCACTTTATATATATATATATATATATATATATATATATATATATATATTAGCAGCATGGCCCGACGTTGCCCGTGCTTGATTCAAAAATCGTACGACTCATACAGCAATCGCTATCACTTGACTTAAAATATGTTTGCCCTTCCTTGCCTTTAAAGGAGTGCCATTTGCCGTGCTGATGTTGCTACATGCCTTACTTCTTGCCTATCTCACACTGCGAATTTTTTCGAAGCTCTATACTAAACATTAAATCTGTTACGAAAAAAGAACTAAACAAAATTAACCCAAAACGATCAGCTTTAAAAAAAGGACTCGTAACTGGAAAAACCGAATGAAAAAAGAATGTTAACAACAAATACTTTTTCACCTCCAACCCAGTTCTGCGGAATCAGAATCAACGTTGAGTTTAAGCAAGCGAATGAGCCAATTGGAGTAAAGTGCCATGCAGATTTAAATTTTTCCCAATGTAACGAATGCAGCTACCGATTTTTTTTTTTTGCATGCTAGCATGCTAGTTAACATTCGTGTCAGTCAGCTGTTGACTCTCACGCTGGCAAATATAATCTTCCTGCCTATTCGTGTCAGCCAGCTATTGGCTCTCACTCTGGCCAGTACAAAATGGGCCGCAAACTACATGAAAAATGCCGTAGAAGCATGAAAAAATCGTGTATTTTGACTATCGATGGGAGTTGGGAAATGCAAAGTCGGTCTTGGTCTTCCCGCTAACTTGTATGTAATATATATATTATTATTTATATATTATATGCGCGGTACTTATTAGAAAGCGCTCAATATCAGAGATAGAGCTAACATATTTGGTTGGATTGATCAATCCAATATATATATATATATATACATATATATATCAAATTATTTGTGGCAGCAAGACATTGAATATTTTCGCTCTTCCTGATTTCTGATGATGTATATGTGATGTAATAGGTAAAGAAGTAGCCTACCAAAAACAGTCTATCTGTGGCAATTATTGAACTCAAACAGAATTCAACCCAGTCTTACTGTGGAGTGATTTCTAGTTTCAGAAATATTGGCTACTTCAACTCCTAGGTAGCAAACGCTCTCGGATTTTTCTTGAGTAACAACATGAACGGTGTCTAATTAATGCGAATTCTGGACAGGCCACAAAGGGCAAGTGTAAACGGTCGGGTCCACAACAAATTGTTTAATAAATGGATCGCCGGCGATTGAGGATAAGCATGAGCAAAATTGAAAATTTTACCGAATCGGAACGTGATTCGACGCTGATGATGCTCGGTCGATCAGTGAATGTAATGCGCGGCATTCCATGGTGATTCGTTGTCGTCGACTAAATATAGTAGCTTTATTAAAGCCCCTGCATCAGCTAATGAGTCTCTCCATGTTGCTTATAGACTGTGGAAGCCGTGTCGCCTGATCAGAAATGTCACCCTTTTAGATTTTTCGGACTGACAGTCGTGTTCGAGCTTGAACTGCATGAACCGTTGGAATTCGGCAGCAGGAAGTTTTGTAAAGCGGTATTGGGTCTATAATGGGACCGGCCGAGTTCTTAAAATGCGGATCTACTGAAACGAGCCATTCTAAGCTATTACATCATACAAATGGCTTCTTATGGATCATTTGTATCCTGGCATGTTTGTCATGTTTCGCAATAGTGATATTTTGTTACTTCAAGGTAACAGAACTCTATTAACGGGTCGCTGTTTCAAGAGTCACATGTGCTACCTAAGAATAATTGGTTTTCTGAACATGCTGTTCGTCAAGGTGAATTTGCTGAGTTCATTTTCCTACAAAGTTTTCTTTTTTTTTTACACAAGCAAATTTTCTAACGCTGAAATTATAGAAATATAAAACAGAAGAAATTAACTTTAATGTCATCCTGTTGTGATGATTTTGAACATTTAAATGTTTTCTGATAAATTTTATTTATTTTATTTTTCAAAATTTCAATTTTTATTTCGAGTTTATGATTAGCGTTTTTTATATATCATATATAAATATCTATTAATGAATTCGATTTGTCATGAAAACAGTCCAACGAGTACACAGGATCGCCTCGTCAGTGATGTTATGACTTGATGTCATGACAAGTTTCGGGTTTTGCAACAACATACTTGTTCGCTCAAGAGACCCTACCGAAACAGTACTATTCCGGCAGGCGATCCTGAAGCAAAAAAAAAATAAATAAAAAATAAAAAAAATACGCCAAGCACGCAACTGATGGACTCATTAAATAACTGCCACTGCTGATCTTGAAATTTACAAGCGACCAATTATTAACGACTTACGTCACTTCTTCCTCAGCCAAGACGATACAAAAGAAAAAAAAATTGAATAGACAGCATGCTCGTCTTTTTTTTTTTTTCATCTTTGGTCCACCACGGAAAGATCCACATTCTCAACGAACAGTTTGACATAACAGGTAAGTAATGACAAGAAAAGTTTCCTTGCTTTAACAAAAAAAAAAAAAAAAAAAAAAATAGGAAAAGAAAAGA